TTAGAAGGGGTGCCTTATCTCTTAGGAGGAGAACCCAACACCCACCTTCCCTCTCAAACACCCCGAGAATCCCCTCCTCCGAACCCCCCCTCCCCAGCAGTTCAGGGTGAGTGGAGGAGTTCCCTCCCACTCACACTCCACTTTGCCCTTCCTGACAGTCTCCCTTCCTCCCTCCCCAAACTGTGACTGTCCCCAGACATTGACTTACCTCCATCAGGATGTATCCAACAGTAGACCTGCCCACTCCAAATTGGTGTCCCACGGAGCGGTAGCTGTCGGGGGTGGCCAGCTTCCAGAGGGCAATAGCGACCCTCTTTTCCAGGGGGATAGCAGGCCGCAGGTGGGTGTCTTGCCGTTGCAGAGCAGGGGCGAGCCAGGTACACAGCTCCTGGAAAGTGGTCTTTCGCATCCGGAAGTTGCGTAGCCACTCTTGGTCATCCCAGAGCTCCATAACGAGCCGGTCCCACCAGTCAGAGCTGGTGTCAAGCCTCCAAACATGCCTGTCCACAAAGAAGTTTGGAGGTAAGGGCAGTGGGGCTGCATGACGGACGATCCCTTCGTACCTCTGGTCTGGGTCCAGATGGGGAAGTAGTCTCATGACTGTGTCATGCAGATGCAGCGACACTTGCAGTATGATGGCGTGGGGCCATCGCCTGCCCAGGGGCAGCTCTGGCTCCATGCCAAAAAAACGGGTCTAAAACAGAAAAACCTCCAAACAAAAAATCTGCTGGGGTGTCCCATGAAGCTGAGCACTCCAAACAAGCACTGCAATACCTTGCTTACCTCCTAGAGGGACAGGGCTTTGGAGACGGTCCCCAGCAGACCAGGGGCACCAGGAGCAGCTTTTCTCGCCCCGGAGTTCCAGGTGGCTGACCGCTGCCTGTGAGCTCCGGGGCAAGAAAGCCCCGTTCGTAAGTGCGGATCCGACATAAGTCGGATCCGCGTAAGTCGGGGACTGCCTGTACTCCTTTTCTTCCTAACTGATCTTTCCATGGGATCTTACCTAATATTTCTATAAATTGGTTGAAATTGGCCTTTCTGAAGTCCAGTGTCCTTGTTTTGCTGTTCCCATGTCCTCCTCTCCTTGAGGTCTTGAATTCTGTCAGATTGTGATCACTTCTTCTATCTATCTGTAAGATTGCTACTATTCTTTTCCCTTTAAATCCTCACTCGGGCTATGTCTACACTACAAGTTTTTTGTGCAAAAACGGCTGGTTTTGCACGAGGAATAACTCGTTTTTGCGCTACAGCTCTTGCGCAAAAAGACATTTGTGGATGCTCCATAGGGGTTTCTTGAACAAAAAGAGCCCATCAGACCTTTCTTGCGCAAGAGCTTCCATGTAGTGTGGATGCTGTCTTGAGCAAAAGCACATTGCTTTTGCAATGCACTTTTGAGGTATGGACGCGCTTTTGCGCAAGAAGTTTTTACAGAAGATCTCTTCCGCAAAAAGTTTCTTGCACAAAAACCCTGCAGTGTAGACAAAGCCTCAGAGATTTTCAATAGTTCTGTCTCTCACTTTCTCTTGGACCTTGGAGCAAGTGTATATATTTTTGATGTACAATCCAATTCCACCTCCTTTCCTCCCTATCTAGCCTTCCAAAACAAGCTATATCCCTAAGTGCTGGTACTCAATTGATATTAGAAAAAATTGGTGGGTGAACTCCTAATATTAAGTCATAATTTTCTTCATAGACCATGACTTCTATTTCATCTTGCTTGTTCCCCACACTCGTCACATTTGTAATACAGGCATTGAAGATGTCCCACCTAACGTTCCTGGATTATTTTTTGCTGATTCATTGTGAATGATGAGCTCATTAATTCCAACCTGGATGCAAATGATGTGGGAATGACTCACTGGACAAGGAAGTAGGATCTGGGACAGAGAGGTCCAACACAGCAAGCCATTAAATCACCCAATGGGAGGATGTTTAGTTTGCCTTACACTGTGGTTAATTAAGCCAAACACCAAGAATGAGGTGAGTTTGTTCATGCCTTGAGTGTAATCTGTAGCTAGAGCACCGTGGGAATGTCCCTGTTAACAACGAGTTATTTGGGTGAATAAATGACAGTTGAATGTTTCTGTGGCTACCTGAACCAAATGAATCTTCTGAAACCTAGAATGTTTACCATAACTTAATAAATCCAAACTCCCTACCCCCTGGCAGCAAGTCCTTCTTGGCATATAAAAACTGTGGCTTCAATTTACCTATGTTTTAGACCCTAGAGCTGTGTCTAGACTGGCAAGTTTTTTCCGGAAAATCAGCAGCTTTTCCGGAAAAACTTGCCAGCTATCTACACTGGCCACTTGAATTTCCGGAAAAGCACTGATGATCTCATGTAAAATCATCAGTGCTTTTCCGGAAAAACTATGCTGCTCCCATTCAGGAAAAAGTCTTTTTCCGAAAGACTTTTGCCCAAAAGGGCCAGTGTAGACAGCATAGTACTGTTTTCCACAAAAAAGCCCCAATTGAGAAAATGGCAATCGGGGCTTTTTTGCGGAAAACCGCGTCTAGATTGGCCACAGATGCTTTGCTTTTGCGGAAAAGCACCCTGCCCATCTTAATCTAGACGTGCTTTTCCAAAAATGCTTTTAACGGAAAACTTTTCCGTTAAAAGCATTTTCGGAAATTCATGCCAGTCTAGACGTAGCCTAGGAGTAAATTTTCCAAACTCACTGATTTCTGGTGCCCAACTTGAGACCTTTTTAAAAGGGCCTGATTTTCAGAGGACGCCTAACTTTGACTCAGCTACTATCATGCTGAATTAATTAACATTGTTTGTAATAGAGCTGGAAGAGGTCTTACCAGAAATTGTAAACCATTTTTCTTCTCCTTTAGTAGAGGTTAAACAGTGAAGGGACAGAGCTTTAGCCTTTTCAACAATAAATGCATGAAATTGAAAGACATTTTTTTTCGCTACCGCCCTTGTTGCTGGAGGCTGAGCAATGCCAATGTCTGTTTAAGATACAGTGAGCTCTCATGCTTCACACCATGTGAACCTTCAGAATGCTGTGTTGAAATAAATGAGTGCCTCTACTGCTGTCTTTCTCTTATTCTACTGTACACTGCACATGCCGACAGAAAATTTAAAAAATGAGTTATCTTTCCTACCATCTGATATCACAGCAGCACCTACCATGCTCTTTAACACTAGGCATCTGTTGGTGTTTTCATTGTAAATCCATATTTTCAAGAAGATAGAGCCTGGCATAAAATGTTGTGTTTCATTCCAACTTTTTGTAATGAATTATATTAGTAAGAAAAGGAAAAGAGCTGGTTCTGTCCCCCTTTCAGTCTCCTAGTTGATAAATCAGAAAAACTCATTAAAAAATAATGGAAATGACAATACAAATACAAGTTTTTAATCCAGAATGTTTTTGCTCCCAAAGGGTATCTGAAAGTGACATTCTTACAGTGCATTTACCTTTATTAAATGTTGCCATGGCAGTTATCTTAATTCCATCTTCCATAATCCTTAAATCTGAAAAAAGAAAATAAAAAATGAGGCATTTACTGAACCTCACACCCGACTATACCTTGAGCTTCAACATCTACTCAATACATTAGCATTGCCTCTCTGCACCACCTTCCATGTGCACAAAATTACAGACAGTTGGAGAACTAGGTTTTATACAGACTGTAGGATATACTATAAGGCTACGTCTACACTGGCCCCTTCTTCGGAAGGGGCATGCTAATTTTGAACTTGGGAATAGGGAAATCCGCGGGGGATTTAAATATCCCCTGCGGGATTTAAATAAACATGGCCACCGCTTTTTTTCCGGCTTGGGGAAAAGCTGGAAAAAAGTGTCTAGACTGGCACGATCCTCCGGAATAAAGCCCTTTTCCGGAGGATCTCTTATTCCTACTTTGAAGACTTACAGTAATGAAGGGCCCAAAGAAGGGTTTGAGTAGAGATTCACTTTTTCTTTTTTCATAATATATCTAAAATTGGTGTTCTCTCTCACTCTATCAGTGAGAGAGAACACCAATTTTAGATATATTAAAAAACTTAAAGTGAAATTTGTATCAACCCTGTATGTGTGGGGTAAGAGAGAAGGAAAAAGTCAAAGATGGCCCCCCGCGGTAGGAAGGAATGGCCTTGTCATCAGGAACAGAAAATGGGGAATGTGGATACGTTTGTACAATGGAAGATCAGGAACTTAGTTCTGCCCAATTAGTTACTCATGGCCCATTCAGGAGGGATGAGAGAGAGAAGGGGGCTCAGAAGAGGGAATTGTCTGGAGAAAGGTTGGGAGGAGAACAGATTGGGAGTTTTCCCTCAGAATAATTTTCAATATAATACTTTTTTTTTTCACAAAGCTTCTATGGGAAAATTTCTATGGTGTCAAAATTCTGATTTTTTTTCTGTTCCAAAATTTGAAATGATGGTTCCCCCAAAGACAGAGCTCCTTGTGCAAGCAGCCACACTGGTTATCCTGAAAGTGACTGCTTTAATGAAATTCTTCTAAATCATGTTTTTCATTATTCATCCTGATTTGGGGCAGTTTTTTTACCCCAAATGTTAAATTTTTCTCAGGAAGAGATAAGTACTGTTCAACCACCTGTGGTCAGGAGTGGTGAGAGAGATCACAAGTCATTACCAAATATTTGGTACTGTAGTAGAAACCTGATTAATCTTTTTTTGCTGTGCACGCTTCTTTGCTGAATATTTCTTGAGAATTAAGCTTGGGAAGGTTTTGTTTGTTTGTTTGTTTGTTTGCTTGTTTGTTTGTTTGTTTGAATACTCTGCATTGGTCTAAACCTGTTTCCATGAAAGTCAATGAAAATTTTAGTGTCTTCAATAATTGTAAAATTAGGAAAAAGCTTTTAAAAAAACGTATCCACACTAACTAAAAAATGTGTTGCTGCAACTGCAGAACCATCTGGCTTCTCCAGTAGCTTCCAATTGTATTCTGTCATACTGCATGGAATTGACAGATTCTGATGTCAACAATTTTGACCATAAATAACTTATTTATTTGAGAAATGAAGTTGTCAGGCTGAGGCACATTTGTGTGTCTGTGTGAACCAGTGTGTAGAAAGGAGTATCTTAAACATTTTTTAACAAAATGTTTGGAATTATGAAGTAGGGGAAAGTTTAAATTTTTTTCAAAGATGCAAAAAATATATTTTTGAGGCCTTTAAGTCTGAAATGGCTTGTAAACACTCTTGGAAAAGTTACTATCTGTCAGCAAAATGTTCAAGTCCATTACAGGAGTGCTGAGACAGCTGATGTTAAAAATTGGTCATGTAAATTGGTCTTGCCATTTTCACTGCAAAGTCACTTCCAAGTGACTCCTCAAATACGTCTAGATCTCTGAACAAGTTTACAAATCAGTTCCTTCCAGCAAATCAACACTGTAATAGTTAATTCATGCTTCCACAGCTGTTTCATTAGCATTCCAAAGGAACTTACAATCTCCTTGAAATTTCCTTCAGCACAGTTCAAGCATAATTGAATGTTAAGAGATTCAAAATTTAATTTTTGTATTTCTTAACCAAATATATTTAAACGTGCCCTATTCAAGAGCCTCTCAAAGGATTAAATGCGGGACAAGGTTGACATTTTACAGCCCAACGTTTCTGAGGCTATGTTTAGACTGCGGGTTTCTTTTGAAAGAACCTTTTTTGGAAGAGATCTTCTAAAAAAACTTCTTCTGAAAGAGAGTGTCCACACACAAAGCGCATCGAAAAAGCGATCTGTTTTTTTGAAAGATAGCATCCACACTGAATGGACACTATCTTGCCTGTAAACTGTGATTACTATGGACAAAGTGGTCACCAGGGCACATATGCTTTTTCTTCTTTCCTCTTCTTTCGAAAGAACTCACTCTTCCTCGTCCACACATGCCTGTTTTCTGAAAGAACTCTTTTGGAAAAAAATCTTCTTTCTCATAGAAAGAAGATTACCAAGGCTGGAAAAAACCCTCCGGCCTTTCAATTTACTTTCAGAAGATGTGATTGCAGTGTGGATGTAACTCAGGTTTTGTCAGAAAAACAGCCGTTTTTCCTACAAAACACTGTAATGTAGATATATACATATAAAAGGTTAGATCTTGGTTTTTTCCAAAACAGTAAAGCCAGCAATGTTTCTAAGACTTATAACGCCAACATTATGTTGTTCTAATTCATTTGGAATTTTGTAAGGGAAAAGTGTTCTTGTGGAGCAAGGCAAAGATCTAATCAAATTTCAGATCAGGAATTTTTCAAGAAATATAGAAGGAGTAAAATTGTTCTCATTCACAGTCAGAATCTTTCACTCTCAATTTGATGCAGTCTGGCAACTTATGGTGAAAGATTCAAGTAGTAATCTAATATTTTCCCCAGAATAATCAAGGACAAGACTAACAATAATAATGTAGTACCTAGCTCTTATGTTGTGCTTTTCCTCAGTGAATATCAATGTGCTTTACAAATGAAGGGGCATCATTATTCCCATTTTACAGATGGAGACGCTGATGTTACTTCCCTCTATCACCCAGCATAATAGTGGTAGAGCTAGGACTGGGACGTATATCTCCTGAATCCCAGTCCAGTGCAATATCTACCAGGTTGCACTGCCCCTCAATGTTATACCCCTGATTAGATGTACAGTAAAACCTGTTATCCAGCATGCTTGGGGATTAGGGCGTTCCAGTTATCTAAAAATTCCGGTTATCTGAGGGTCCCATCAACCTAGGAAAAACCAACGGACAATAATAGTAAAACTCAAGTTTTTAATATTGGTAGTTTTGTAGTGTGAGGCAGTTGGTCTCACATTTCTATTTTGAGTTAAAGATGATTAGTACTTCTTAAATAAAAAATTGTTAAGCCAATCATGGTAAACCAAGCCAGGCCTGTGCGCCTGAAGATTTAACAGTATGTGGCTGGGGGCAAAGTCGGTTAACAAAGTTTTCTGGTTAACAGAGTGCCAGATAACAAAGGTTTCATTGTACTAGGGATAGCCAAACAATCAAATACTATTTATCTAAATATATTCATTGTAGTTATAGACAAATACTGTAACTTTGTTCAGTGAATAAAAACGATGATTTCATGAACAAGGTGAGATTGGTACACTCTCTATATGCACATTTATACCAGTCCCAGGACAACTGCTTCCTCCATCCCCCACCCCTCCCGACCCAATAGGCCTGTGGTTTGGTGTGAGCAGTACACAATTAAAAGACAACTAAGTAGCCCCCACCTAAGACAAATGGGGTATGCAAATTTGCCCAGGAATTTGGACTATGTTGGCAGACGTCTCTACTGAATATTGTGTGTGTGTTTCCCAGAAATATCCTAAGAAGGGACAAAAGAAATGCACAGATAAAATAAGCTTGGGTCTGCAATCAAGGAAAATGTCTCTTGTTGTTTTCGTTCTTCCTGTGTTCAGGGAAACAGGACTTTGTACATGCCTTGTAAATAAATGAGACTGTGTCAAAGGTATCAGACTCTAACCATTTCTTCTCCCAATTCGAAACACTTGCAAAATTCTGAATTTTTGGCTTAGCCATTCGGGTCAAAGGAGGTAATATATATTCACAGATGAGAACCAATGTATTTGACTTTCATACTAAACATGGGAAAATAAAACTGCTCATATCTTATGAGAGACTTGCTCTCTAAATATCCAATTATAATATGTTTACAATACAGTATTATATCTTGTACTTGCATCTGATTTAAAATACTTTATGTGCAATGACTTTCCCTAAATGCAATTAATTTCATGCTTTTTTCTTAACTAATTTGCTTTCTCCTGTTTACTAACTGAATAATTGTCAGAGTGTAATTAACACAGATGTCGCATATGCAATACTTTTCAGGTTCAGGTTCAGGTTAAATTTATTCTACTGCATATGGAAGTGTCTAATTAGATTGCCATCTAAAACGATAAAACAGTTTGGGTTTTTAAACGAGTATGGTGTTTTAAAGACTTGTATCTTATTTAATAGTACAATCATTCTTATTAGTTGTCAGGTTTTAAAATAAGGATCTCTTATTGTGCACATCAGCTTTGGACCAAGGTTATATAGAGGGAAAGCTACATATATTCAAGAAGAGATCCCTGCCAAAACCCCAGGCTCCGAGGGGCTCTGCTAGTCATGGATAGTCCTTATTGTACAACAAACAAATCAAAACGCTGGAACTAAATGCTCCCAAATGTGAGGGGAGTGTTGAAATCAACATACAAACTTTTTGGTTTTGTCTATCTGCCCTGTAAACACATTTTTTCTTGCTGACTCACTGAAATAAATACATAAATAAATTATTGTTATTATTAGTATTGGTATTTTATTTATTTTGGTAAATGTACATGGGAGTTTGGATAAGCAGAAATGCTGGCAATAACTCATGAAAGTTTTATGCATTTCTCTACTTTATTATAGTAAAAGACAAGACCGGTATGGAGAGTTACTTGGATACTTCATTTACAAAGCAATTATGGGAAAGTATTGCTATTTTAACAATATTTAATTTATTGTGACAGTTCAT